GTGTCAGCAGAGACGAGTGAGGGACAGAGGCACTGGGCTGGTTTTTATGCTGGTCCCTGAGTGCCTGAGGGGGCTGAGACAGTCTCTGTGCATGACAGCATGTTTGTGCAAGCAGCTAGTGCATGTCAAATCCTGGTAAGCAATTAGTTGTGGTTGTGTTTTCCTTCCCAAAAATTCTGCAAGTTCATGTCTTTCTGTTAAGGGCATGTCCATCTGGCCCTGGCGGCAGCTTTCAAGTGAGAGTGTTAGAGGTCAAATGCTTTTTGTTGATGGCGCATGTCAGGGCTGTCTAAACATGCAAACAAAGCATTGGAGAGGTGGGGTGTCATCAGTGAGGTCATCCCGTGGCACTCATATGCTGTGGTTTGCGGGTGTGTTGTGAAGAGGGGGCCCCCTGTCCTCGCAGCCCCGTCAGGCTGGTCTGGGGTTTGGAGCTGTGCTGGCAGTGCAGGGCTGCCCCTTTCATCACATTTGTTCCTTCTCTGCCTTGCTGCCAGGTCACTAAGCCTGTCTACAGGCCTGTCCTTTCTCACTGGGCGAGCTCTGTGGGTGTCTTGGTACTCCTCTGGCTTGTGAGGTTGTAGCTGGGGAAAGGAGGCTGCTGGCTTGGGCTTGTGCCCATCTGGGGCCGTTCCTGGGAGTCATGGTGCAAGCAGGCAAAAGAGGGCTTTTTACAAGAGTGGGCCATTGTCCTCATAGCGCTGGTTTGTGTCTGATCACATCTGTGATGTGAGGAGTCCTGCCAGGCTCCCTATAGTCTTGTGCTGCCTCTTCCACAGCACTCCCATAATATTGCATTGGCACATTTTCAGTCTGGGCTTTGTTGTGACACATTGCTTGATACTGGGCAAGTCACAAAGGCAGGTGAGTTTCAGAAGAGGCTGTGAGGATGCTGGGTGGGATAGGAGACTGGGAGCAGTTGCCAGGGAATGGGTTGGGCTAGGGTTTATGGTCTTTACCTCAGGTCTTTCTAGCGGGTGAGGCCATTTCTCTGCTCTTTTTTACAGGAGAAAGTTGATTTGGAGGTTGATGAAGGGATTGGATGCAAAGATGTTTAACGTGGCTGCAGAGCCAAGGCCCTGTTGGTGGTGGATGCATGCTGAGTGGTTGATTCCTGGCAATGCCTGCCCCAGTTCAGCCAAGGTGAGTTTATTGGAGGCTGATTGTCAGGTGAGCTTTTTGTGGTTGAGTTATATGAAGAGCAGTAGGAGGGAGAGCTTTTGCAGTGGATGTATGAAATTCCCTGGGGCAAGACAGTACCCACAAGTGCTAAGGGAGCTGCCTGTTGTCCTTGGGAGGTCTGTCTCAAGTATCTTGGAAAAGGTAACAGTGCCTGGAAGTGGTTCCTGAAGACTGGAAGAGAGCTCAATGGCCTCCTCCTCAAAAAAGACCAGGAAGGAAGAATTGGGAAACTGGAGGCTGTTGAGTCTGATCTTGTTCTCGTGGAAGCTGATGCACAAAGTCTTACCAGAAAGGACTGTGAATGGCAGGAAGAACAAGAAGTTGATGTGAAGTTCTAGCATAGATTTGCAAACGGTAAATCATGCTTGATTGAACTCTGTCTCCTCTATGGGGAAGTGCCCATCATTGTGGATGAGGGGAGAGCTGTGACTGGTGTTTACCTCGACTTCCTTTGTAAAGCATGTTTGTGCAAGCTGCTGGTGCATGTCAAATCCTGGTAAGCAATTAGTTGTGGTTTTGGTTTTCTTCCGAAAGTTCTGCAATTTCATTTCTTCCTCTTGAGGACATGTCCATCTGGCCCTGGTGGAAGCTTTTAAGTGCGAGTATGAAACTCCAAACACTTCATGTTGATGGCACATATCAGGGAGGCCGAACACGGAAACACCAGAGAGGTGGGGTGTAATCAGTGAGGTCATTCCATGGCACTTGTGCAAGTGGTTTATGAAAAGCATTGTGAAAAGCGGCTCCAGTCTAAACCTCCCCTGGTACAGCTTGAGGCTGTTTCCTCTTGTCCTATCCCTTGTTCCTTGGGAGCAGAAACCAGCCCCCTCCTGGCCCCATCCTCCTGTCAGGCAGTTGGAGAGAGTGATAAGGTCCCCCCTGAGCCTTCTCTTCTCCAGACTGAACACCCTAAGGTCCCTCAGCCCTTCCTCATCATACTGGTGCTCCAGGCCTTTCACCAGCTCTTATGCCCTTCTCTGGACCTGCTCCAGCACCTCAAAATCTCTCTTGTAATGAGCAATCCAGAACTGAACAGATTATTCCAAGTGTGGCCTCGCTCACTGTGCTGAGTATGGGAGAAGACCACCAAGTGGTCTACCCTTCATATCTACCTCTCTCCATTTTAGGCACAACTTCTTGTCCTTCCTGGCACTGCCAGTGCCCTTAAAAGGGAGGATTTCTTACATCACCTTCCACAAGAACAAGATCTCAGTTCTTCCTTTCTGGTCTTCCTCAAAAGATGAAGACATTGAGCTCTCTTCCAGTCTTCATCCAGTCACTGTTAACTTTTCCAACATACTTGAGACACGCCTCCCAGGGAGATCAGGTACCTCGCTCACCATTTTTAGCTACAATCTGTCATCCCCCAGGGAGTTACATACATCCAGTCCCAAAGCACTCCCTCCTACCTCCCTTTATCTTCCTCAACCATACAGTAACTTGCCTGACAATCAGCCAGCAACACACTCACCTTGGGTGAATTGGACCAGGCCTTGCCAGTCATAAACCCTTAGCTATACAGTCATGCGAAATATCTTTGCACCCAGTCCCTTCACCAATCTCTAAATCAACATTCCGCCCATAAATACTGAGCAGAGAAATGGCCTCACCTGGTGGCACCACCCCATGTAAAGACCACAAACCCTGACCCATGATCTTCCCTGGCAACTGCTCCCAATAAATTCTTTCACTTGAGATCCTCACAGCTTCTCCTGAAACTAACCTGCCTTCATGAGGTGGCCGGTATCAAGCAATGTGTCATGCCAGAGCCCAGGCTGCAAATATGCCAGCCCAAATTTGGAGAGTAATATAGAGGGGCCAAAACGATTAGAGATTACCTGCACCACAGAGCTCAAAAGATCTCAACTGGGGCTACAAGGACAATGGCCAGCTCTCACAAACAGTCCTCTTCTGCCTGCTTGCACCACCAACCACAGGGACAGCACCAATGGTGCACGAGCCCAAGCAGGCAGTCTCATTCCTTTCAGCAACAACCTCAGAAGTCAGAGGGGCACCAAGACACCTACAAAGCTCATCCAATGCGAAAGGACAGGCCTGAACACAGGCTTAGCAACCTGGTAGCAAGGCAGGGAGGGACTGAATGCAATAGAAGAGGCAGCCCCTCATGTCCAGTACAGCTCCAAGGCCCAGACCAGCCTGGCAGGGCTGCACGGGCATGGGGCCCCTTCTTCACAATGAACCCCATGAGTGCCACGGAGTGTCAATGATGACATCCCACCTCTCTGACGGTTGCATGTTCTCTCCATCCTGACATATGTCATCAACACCAAGTCTTCGGCTTCTCATACTCGTGCTTAAAAGCTGCTACAGAAAGACATGTCCTCAAAAGGAGGACATTAAATTGTAGAATTTCAGGAAGGAAAACACAACCACAACTAATTGCTTGCAAGGATTTGACATGCACCAGCAGCTTGAACAAACATGCTGTCATGTACAAAGACTGTCTCAGCCTCCTCTGGCACTCTGGGACAGGCATAAAAGCTGGCCCAGCACCTCTGTCCCTCACTCGCCTCTGCTGACACCTTCTCCTGCGTGCTCAAAAAGGTGAGCCTCATATCCCTTGCCCTCCTGCTCCTGCCCCCCCGGTCCAGCTCTTCCAGCATGCTCTGCCCCCAGCCTCAGCATCCCTGATGCCTCCCCAGTGCCACAGCCCCACACCAGCATCCCCACTGCCTTGCCCTCCTGTAGCACCACCCCTCACACCCCCAAGCCCCTCTGCTTTCCACACACTTTCTCCTCTGCTCTCATCTCCTATCCCCTCGTTTCCTCTCCCAGGGCCCCTCCACACCACACACATGGCCTGCAACGACCTCTGCTGCCCCTGCGGCCCCGCCCCGCTGGCCAACAGCTGCAACGCGCCCTGTGTCAGGCAGTGCGAGGGGT